TTTCAGGGTCTCAGAGCGATCTCGGGGGCGTTCAGGACCTGCCCTTGGCCAATCTGTACTGCAAGTTGGGGGTCTTGCCTACCGAACTTCGGAGAGAGCAACTTAAGGTGGCCATTCACGATCGCTCCTAGCAGTCCAAACGGAGCGACGCCGTTCCAAAAACCACGACAATGGCAAAACTGAACTGGCATGCCCGGCTGTGCCGAATATTCGACCGGTCCAAACTCCACCGCGCCACTCCAAATATCTACGGCGCGACGACGGCATGGGGTGGTCGTGAATGGGAAAACCCGCGTTTTTTTGGCTCAGTCTCCGTCTTTCTGTCTCTGAGCAAACATCTCCGTCCTACATTCTCAAAAAGTCAAAAACGCTTATTCTTTATTGGCAATGACATCCAATCGAGATTTTATTGTTAAGGTGATTGAATTGTATGCAAATTTACCATGTTTATGGAATGTGGTGGACAATGATTACCACGATAGAAATAAAAGAAATTCGGTCCTCAACCAGTTGGTCGACCTTTTCAACACAAAGGATACAAATGCAACGAGAGATGCGGTATTAATAACCCCTAAGCGCTGAGCAGAAATCGTAGTAGAGAAATGCAAAGGATGCAAATGCAACGAGAGATGCGGTATTGATAACCCCTAACGTTGATCAGAAATCGTACTAGCGAACTTAAGTTCTTCGTAGTTCATCCCTGTAGCGAGAAATCGTAATGAGGCTGCTAACCTTTCATGTAGAGTAATTTCTCTCATAACTGACTTTTGTTTTCTAATCAAGGGGGTAACAAACTGAAGTAAATATAAATAAGGCGTTAATCTTTTTTTTTTAAGGNTTTTTAAGGTTTTGGTTGAAATGAAAAAATAGTGTCACGAGGGGATTCGAATCCACGACATTCGACTAAATACGCCGCTGCTCTAACCACTTAAGCTATCGTGACTAAGATAGTTTGATCCACTCGGACACCAACTCCCTATCTCAACCTACAACCTTTAGAATTTTCCCTCTTTTTGCCATTTTTTGGTATCCGAGAGGATCGAAGTCACCATACCTCAAGTGTAGAGCAGCGGCGTATTTATCCGGTCATGGATTCAAATCCCGCTCGTGGTACTAGCTTTTTCATTTCAACCAAAGCCTTACAAAAAAAGATTAATTAATTGAAAGAAGTAATTTGGTCAATAGAACACTAAATGTAATGAAAAAATAAGACGTTTCATCCATTCTTAAATGGTTCCTCTAATCAGCGGGTCAAGGGAAAGCTCTTTCATCAAATTAATGTGGGTATTACGGCTTCTGTTCAGGAGCCACTTCTTATACCATTTCCTCTTTGGTTTTTTGCTTTTAATATATAAACAAAGAGCAGCGTAGCACAAGAGATCGTCATCCATTTTGGGAAGGTAATTCACTGGATGACGTTCGGAGTGACCGGCTGTGGAGCGGTCGTGAATGCCCCCTCAAATTTCAGGCACTCCAAATGGAGCTATACGGCTTGGCGCGGTTCCATTTGGAGCGATCGTGAATGGCCACCTTTACCCACTGTTACGCGGCCGGGTTCTTTGCCAAGCCGGAGCACCCCCTCTTTGTAAAGATCCTCCACTGCCCGTACAGAATAGTCTACAACAGGCTTCTCTCGCGGAAGCGACCCCTCGGCATTCGCTTCGGTGAGTCCTCAGGGAGGGCCGGTTTGGCGCTGGGGACTGTGCTTCGGTTGGGCCACTGGCCGACACCCCCCCTCCTGGACCTTTCCGGCCGTACTCGCCCGCGACGATCTGGCGAACTTGCTCAAATCGTGTACTACGCCATCCCTCTACAAAGCTAAGTTCCTTGAACATAGAAATGGATAGGCCGGTTTTTGTCTGATTTTTACAGACCGGTGATAGTGTGGCGTGTACTGTGTATAGCGAGGGAGTGGCCACCTTCTGGTCGATGCCCTCTCATTGCAGCGTATACATGGCAGAGCTGTATGTGATTGGGCACGCTCTCGAGGCGGTGCGGACCGGAGCCTTCCTCGTATGCACCGACTCTCTGAGCGCTTTTTGGGCTACACGCGACACGTTCTCTGTGGACCCTCTTGTCGTATTGTTAGAGAAATACGCGGAGCTGGAGCCTCTCGGAATAACGGTGGTTGTTGCCTAGATTCCGGTCCACGTCGGCCTGGAGGGTAACGAACGTGTGGACGAGGCGGCGAAATCCGGTACGTCCTACCCTCCCGATCGGACCATCGCGATCAGGCCCCCTGTCGCTAAACACGCAGTAAAAAATATGATAAAAGAAAGATGGCAGCGTCAGTGGGCGGGGTCGTCGGAGAGGCTCTTGCGAGTCAAGAGCACGACCGGTAGATGGCCCTCAGAGAACCTGAGCAGGAGTCGAGGGATCGCCTCACCCGACCGAGGATTGGCTATACGCAGTTGACACAACGGGCCCCTTATGCAAGAAAGGTTGCTCGATGTGTCCCACATAATAGGGGCGAGTCAAGCCTTGGCTCCATACAGAAAGCGTGTAGGCATGCCGCTGGTTTTAAGAAGAGTTCTCGAACACGGTAGCGAGTTTCAGAGTCCCGTGTTCCGCTTTTTAGTGGAATTGGGAATTTTTTATTGTATATAGCGTTTAAAATATGTGTTTTGTGTTTCTGTGCCTTGTATGAGTGAAAGTATTTATTGGTGTGAGTGGGGAGGGGCTGATGGCGAAGTAGCTTCTCCATCGCCTCTCACGAGGCGAGTCACTATGTATGACTTGGGCCGATGGCGGAAATTTTGTGAAAATACCATATCGACCCCAATCTAGATTAGTTTATTATTTAGGAATAGGTAGATGGAGGAATATCGAGTAATCCATCTACCAAACGGTATGAGTGTGATCAATGTATTTATGGTGTGATTATGTATCGAGTGTGTAGCGGTATTATGTTAGTGCTTCGGGGCTGAAATGACCAAGGTGTCTGATGGTCTGATGCCCCTGTCAAAAAAAAAAAAAAAATATATATATAACATTATATGTTATATATATTATACTACGTTATATATATAATATATACATATATATATAATATATACATACGCTGGTAAAAGAGTAGGAAAGAGGAGAAAATTGTTTATCAATAGCTCCTATACGAAAGCATGTATTATACCTCTCTTGAGACCAGATTGCGCGGCGCAATGTGCAACACTTCTGCATGACCAATGAGTTGTGCGAATTTAATCTATTGAACTAAAATATTCTATCGACCGAAGTCTGTGGATGGTAAAACTAATAAATACCAATTTACCAATTAATATACCAATAAATCACATAAATAAATTATGTATTCTGAATAATAGTAAATGAATGAATAAAATAATTTATAGTTATAAAGCGATTTATAAATTATATCTAAATAAATTCTGCTGCCAAAAATGTATTGAAGAATAACTTTCATAGGTACGTTATATATATATATATATATATATATATANAAATAATAGCTCTAATTGTCGTTTCTTTTGTATTTTTACAGAGCAACACAATTTGGCTTATTATTTCATACCCCAAACGCCTAATAAGATTGTGTATTTTCTTTAAATTACACATTGTATATATATTTATTCGTATAAATTAAAAACTGCTTAAATTCTATATTTTTAAGGGATTAATATTTTATAACTCTCAAGTTCAAAAACTACTGGATAAATTGATACAGAGATCTAGCATTTCAACTACTCAAGTATTCCCGTTCAAATGCTCAAAAGTGTAAATGCCTCGGATTCTAAAACCCGAGTCAGATTCTGGTACAGAGCTTTCTCATCAAGCTCAAGTTGTAACGCGTAATATTTCCAGGTCGGCCTCAAAGTAAAAATTCCAGGAATCCGATACTTTTTCGAGAAGAGCCCGGCTGCTGCGGTGAGCGAGCTTATCGACCCCCCCCCCCACGGGCGGAATTTCGGCCTGGATGCGGGACTGGGATGTACAAAGACAAAGTCTTGGATATAATAATTTAATGAACATTTCGCTTCAATACAATGTATACTGCGGCCTTTAAAATAAATAAATAAAACGCTTCGTATGACATACAATAATATATAAACACTATTTATTAATAACAAGTAGTTCCATTTATAATAAAATTGCATCTAAGAATATTCTCTTACACGTAACTGACACAAAAAAAGATCAAGCGGGTAGTCGGTATTTTAAAATTTTATTACAAACACTGACGATACATTTCTATTGATTATTGTTTACAATTTTCAAGACAATGAAACTGAGATTTTGAGAGATTAAAAAGAACCAACATCACAGCCTTCGCTTTGTGTGTTTTTACGTCTTTTGACCCAGATAATTAATTTACAGTTTAATAAATAAAAAACGAAGAAAAATTATATTCCTAAAAGAAAGAACGGAACAATAGTTCTTTTTCAAAAGTACGATCACCGAGTCACAAACGGTGAAATATTCTTATTAGTTTTAAGTTGTGTACAATCATTTAATCGTAAACTATGGACTTAAACACTACGGAAATGTTAAAACTATCAACACATCGTCCAAATAACAACTTACTACGTCTACATCTTCTAACACTTAAAAGCTTAAATTCTACATTAGAACGGCAAAACAGCCAGTTGAATATTCTAAAAACAAAAACCTATGGAAATAACATGGAAAAGAAAAACATGGTTCACAACCTTGATCTCCGTAGACAATTAAAGATCCAAATAAATTGGACGGATAGCACAGAAAGAAGTTTCATGCCGAAATGGAAAATCGTCATCCTTTTTATTTTTGCTGAAGTCAAAACTAATTTTTTTGACATACGACAGTTTCGATCTTTCTTTATTATTTTTTTTTAGAAATATATAAATGCTTATATGCTAAAGGATGGATTTGTACCCTTTTAAAAAACACAATATCCTAGAAAAAATTATAAAGTTAAACATGATTTGTAACGATGAACTAGATTATCGACCTGCTGGATACAAGAAGTCTTTTCAGAGGATCTTCGGAAGAGGAAGATCCTCTGAAAAGACTTCTTAAACATAATTAATTGATAAATGCAACATAGACGTTATTATAGTAAAACTTTACAAGCTCGAAATAATTTTCTTAATTTTTCTGAATTCCTCGACGAACGCAACCCAATTCCACTGTTTATAAATATACAGATTAAATTTTGGCTTTTTAATTGAATGCTTTCGTTGATTGTTTTATTGTACTAAAATACCATGCGCTCAGTAATTTCGACGTTTTAATTATTGTTTCCAATGTTTCACTTATAATTGACAATGAAATCAATCTGCTCCTTATTCAAATATTTAAGTTATTAATGGCAATGTTTTAATTAGAGAGCAGTTATGAAATCTACATTTTTACAAACAACCATTGACACATTTGTAAAAAAATCATTATTACAAAGTTTCATAGGAATAATTCAATAACGATTTTTCAAATTATTTTATTGGCGGTGAAATATATTGTAAGGAATATTTACAAATCAATCACAACTGGTTTTCATTTATCATTCCTATTAGTACTGAAAAAATGCATTTTTAATCGTTAGATTAGAAGGGAAATCATAATTGTAGGGTAGTAATGCCTCGGTTCAAGACACCTGTAGCTCTAATCCCCGAATCAATATATTACCACCGTTGGATGTCTTACAAATTGGCCGACAATTAACGCCTATGATGTAAATTGGCAGAACTTCTTCCAAGAAAAAGAACATGAAAGGAACAAAGTATAGAAAAACTATGCATACTAAAAAACAAATCTAATTGCCATCTAAATATAAACCATTTTCAGAAAAAAGGCAGCAAGCCGAGCTTTCCATTAAAAAATTAAAGGAAGAGTATAAGAACATAAGTTAAAATTTAAAGAAATAAGAATAAATAACAATTGCCAGGACAGTTAGAAAAGACTAAACAAACTTAGTTTTGAAACAAAAGAATTAAATCAGATCAAAGGTTTTTATAAACAAATAAAAACATTCTCAAATTGAAAAAAAAGGAAAAATTAGCAGGAAAACATTCTCAAACAGGCATTGAAATAAACCTTGACCACGCCCAACCGACTTAGCCACGCAATTTTGACAAAATTTTATAATATAAAAATTCTGTACAGCGATAGTTGGCTTGAAGAATCTCGATAAGAAACACGAAACGTTGCTGCGATTAATAACTTTGATATGATCATTCCAGAAACACTGAATTTATCGGAAGTGTACGTAAAGTACCACTCTATACGCGACTTAAATGTTTAAGTCTGCCGACAAAATGTTTTGGGGAAAATATTTAAAAAAATCGATAGAAATTTAGGATTCTAATCCACAAGTTCAGTGTAACTGGGCCAGAAAACAAACCTTGACCACGCCCAACCAACATAACAACGCCTACTTAAACAATATTGGACAATTTGAACCACCTGATAATATGAAAATTAAGATGGCAACAATTTTTTAAATTTCTACATTAACAAAGCTCAGTAAATAACCTGATTTTAAAGTAACAACTCTCAATAGGCAATAAAACAGTCAAAAGTTATAAAAATTGATACTACAACTACGTTAGCTCAGCGGTTTCTCAAAGTTTTCTAATAGTAATAAAGAAAAAATGTATGACAGAAAATCAGGATTGTAAATCAAAAATGCAGGGTGCACAAACAAAAAGTGGACAACGCTCATCAAACTTAGCCACATCCATTTTGGTAGCTTTGCTTAATTGACGATATAAAACCATTCATTTTTACCTTTATGAAGATTTTGTTTTATGTTTCATTTCAGCATTTTGAAGCTTTGTTATCATAGACGTAAAAAATTTCAGTAAATATTGAATTAATCAATGTTGAATTTTTTTAAAATTTTCGTTAGTTTGCGATAATAGTTTGGTTGAAAAACCAAGACATCCGGGCAATGGCTAAAGCTGAGTGATAATCCATTTCCATTTAAGCCTACTGTTAATTCATATTGCTTTTCCTGTACACTTTCTTAAAGACTTGAATGCAGACCTTTCTTTTTAAATATTTTTTATTTATTTAAAGATTTAATGAAAATTATATACATTGTCCGCGCTCTTCACATGTGACAGGGATAATTCCATTCATTATCCAGTGGAAAAACGCGGAAGGGTTTCGGACGGCTAATCCGATACGAGTTGAGACTAGGGCCATTAATGCATTTCCGCTTGCCCGATACCCCCGAGCCCAATCAAAACCACCCCTTTGTGAACTACCCCCTACGAATGAGAACGTTGATTTGACTCTCCTTCCAGTGAAAACTGAAAACAATCCGTTATGAATATATTGAATACGTTTTTATTAATAAATTACATAATATTAATCTCGAATCAATTGGAATATGGAATTGATAAGATCATTTTTTTTCTTTTGGAAAATGTACATTACAACAACCCACATTCAACTGAAAACATGACACTAAATTCAGGCTAATAAATTTTGTTTTTAGTCATCAATCATGGAAAAATTTAATTTTTAAATTTAACTACTTATGAAAAAACAGAAATTTTGTAGAAAATATAATTTTAAACCTCAGGCTTAATTAAAGAAATCATATTGCAATAAATATGGCATAAGCTCATTCCGGTACCACAGAAATAATGTTTATGTCAGGGACGTCTTTTTTTTTTTTTTTTTTTACTTTCTTTCAAATTAAAGTAGCATAATTGACCACCTCTATAAAATCATTTTATGAAAATCACACATGGTGTAAAATATTGGCCCAGCCGATAGGAAAATTCGTTGCTTACTAACTATCTTTGTTACAATCTAATGTTGCACTTTTTATACAATGAAAACCGAGCAATAATTGACTTTAAAGCTCTCGTACCTCAAAGAAATATAACTACAATAAAACAAAGATCATTTACACAAATAAATAAATAACAGGGGAAAGGTCGACTACAAAAATGTTGTAAAATTGGTCCGACGACTCGTATTTTTAAAAAATAATTATATGTAGCTAAAACTGCTTTTCGGAAAAGCACGAAGTCCAGTTAGTCGTCGACGTCGTCTTTTTTCATATTTGACGGATTTCCGTTCAAAATCGGTTCGGCTGGAGCTGCTGCTGTCTTATGACGGCGAAGTGTGTCGTCTGGTAACTGTGGTCCGACTTCGAGCCCCGGTCCAGGCTGCCGGTCATGCAGTAGCCCATGTTTCTGTCCGATATGCTTATGCTGGAGGTCAGCCACAGCTGTAACAGAGAGAAAAGGAAATACTCGTTTAGGGTATTAAGTGAAAAGAAAGCACAGCGTAATGAATAGGGGCCCTGTTGAGGCCTTGTTGAAGTGGACGGCCCAATCAATATTCGGCCACATACTTTATTCATCGTAAAAATCTCGGTTTATTCGACATGTTACCTAACTTATCGACACGGCAGGTGACATATATATAAATGTTTTTTTTCTATTTTTATTTTAGAAACAATAAAAACAATAGGTTCTAAGTAATTTATGAGCGAACTTATGTGCTTCTTACTATGGTTCCTTTTGCTGAATCATATACAGTTTAAATGAAACAATGAAAAACTTAGAAACTATTGCATTTGAAAAGTTAAATCTATAACAAAGTTACTAGAAAAAATGGAATGCCTGTTAAAACACTTTCTTAATGGCCTAATCGGGTTCGATAAGATCATAGACTAGTGCGTTTAATTTATTAAATATATTAATAAATAATTAACATTTTATAAATTAAAAAATATAAAAGGCTCAAATACTGTTTAACCCTTCTTACTTCACTCACGCATATTTCCAAATCGAGGTTAATTTTTTTTCTAATGACTTAGACGGTTTTGCCAAGACCCTAAATTCTTCAGAGATCACAGAGCGAAAATGTACGAATTAAACTTGACCCGTTGTCTCACTTTGGCTATAATTAATTTCGTAATTAGGACAAATCTATTATCACTTAATCACCGTCAAGGGCTGAATTAATTTTACCTCGAGGCGATTTTAACTTTTATTAACGACCCCCCCCCATTATAAACAATTTACTAAAATTATTGGCCTTACAAAATAAATAGATACAATAAAATATAAGCTAGATACGTTAAAACTAAACAACATATGTGTGAGGGAGAGAGTGAGCATAGGATAGGGAAAAAGTGAATATTAGAGTGAGAGAGTGAGTAATATAGCGAAAAAAGTAACAGGGGAAACAGCAAGAAAGAAAGTGAGAAAGAGCGAGAGTGTGGAAGAAGAGAGCGAAAAAATACTGGAAAATTTTAAGAAGAGGGGCAACAAAGAAGAAAGTGAAAAACAGAGAGAAAAATAATCAGAGAGAGCATGGGAGGGGTGAGAGAGAGAGAGGGAAGGAGAGGAATAAACTAGTGAAAAAAAAGAAAAGGAGAGACAACAGAAAAAAGTTTATTAATAGTACCAAGTATTAATAATACGAAAACGAGTTACCGCCCTTATGACCAGATCACACGGCGCAAGGTGCAACGCCCGCAAAATCAAAGAGTTGTGCGGCTTTAGTATATTGCCAAAGAATATATTTTATATCGGCCGAGTTCGCCGAATAGTAATAATAATAGAATGGCCGATATTTAGTTAAATAAATTATTGATTTCACGTAATGATAATTCGATTAATAAAACAATTGATTAATAGGGTATGATGCTAAATTTATTCCTTACTATAGGGACTATAGGGAAAGAGAGAGTGAGCGAGAAAGAAAGATGGTCGAGCGAGAGGAAAAAGCAAGCAAGTTTAAGCACATTTGTTTTTTTTTAAATGAATCATATAAACTACAAACAAAAATGTTTAACAAATTAATAAAGCAGATAAGAGCGAAAGGTTAAAACTTTTAGATGAGTACGTGTAACTGCCGATGAGGCACTTTATTTTTTTTCCGTTCGTCGAAAGCAATTGGTGGCAATCGGATGATCCCTTCTGAAGTTCATCCGTGCTGAAAAAAAACCTCGATCTTGTTTGCCCCATAATGTCAAATATCGTCGAGCCAACTGTTTTTACGCTCTGATTAAACCCGATGCCAATAAAAAAACAATAATTTTCCAGTAGACCCCTCCTGAACGTGAGATTCCATTGTAATCATATCAGAACGTTTCAATTTCAACGATTGCTTCATTTTTAAGAACTCGTTCTATTAATTCTCGTCAATTTGAAAATGGGTGTTTCATTTGTGATTTTTAGTAGGAAAACTGCCATTGCTAGAAAAATAACCTTCGATGACAATAAGAGAAAGTGCCGAAGTAAAGTCTTTCGAATGTTTCACCCCTTGGAAGTTTGGTTTGTTATGAACCGAAAATCCTTCTGATTTGAGGGAAGTCGTAGACGTCGTCCAATTCCAGGAGAGTGACAAGTCGAGGGCGGGCTCTGAGACGGGCGAGTGTTTTCAACACTTGTCTCAACCACATTAAGCTTGCGTGGGAAGAAATAACGTCAAAGTGTCTTAAGCTGTAAAGAGAGTTCGGATAAACAAACCAGAAAGTCAAGCCGGCAGAAAGAGAAATAAACAAACTGAACCCAGAAGATTGTAAGAATACAGGGAAAAACAGAGATAAATGATTCAAATGCCTGAACAAATGACTAACAATTAAACAACATTCAGGTCCAAATACAAATAAATAAACAGGAAAAGACATAAAAACCGATAAAACCAATAAAAGAATAAATGAAACAAGTAGAGAAATGTAACATCAAATCTTAAAGCTTACGTTCAAACAAAATATATGCTGATCAAAAAACGGCCTGATAATAAAATAATAAACGAGTAAAAAATGGCTAAAAAAATAATGAGTAATAAAACAGACGATAGTTGTACAATAAAACAACCAAAAATGTCAGTCAAAGTTAGGAAAACGATGAAATGAAAATGGAAAGAGAAAGAGAGAGAGAAATTTCACAGCAAATCTTATTGCTTACGTAAAACAATATATATATATATATATATATATATATATATAGAGAGAGAGAGAGAGAGAGAGAGAGTAAATAAAGGGAGAAAGAGATATAGACAACCACGTTATTAAGAAGACAGTTGACACGAAAAAAATACAAAACAAGAAAAAGAAACAAACAGAAACGAAATTTAAAATAATATTTATATATGATCAGATATATAATAATTTTATACATTTTTTATTGGCTTATCCAGTTTTCTCACTTGTGTTATTTACTTATTCAACTAAAAATTAAATAATTGACGATTACGTTAAAAATATGTAAATATAAAGAGATAATCTTTCCCATAAAAAGTATTAACATAGACATACAAATAATACACCGATTAGGGAACGAAGGGACAGCCAATTAAAATAACAAGCGAAACGGCCGACAACACAATCAAAATAGTGACAGATAAGTAAGCGCACAGTCTACATTAACCAAACTTAGACTAACCGAGAAATAGGAAGACAATTTAAGAAAACAAATTAGCGTAAAGATAAAAAAAAGTATAAAAAATAACAAAGAGAGAAAGGAAATAACAAATCGCGATATTTCATTAATGAGAAGTTATAGTAACTTAGCGTGTGGCAAGTAATTATCAACAATAAGATCATTGAGTTTTATCGCTTGCCTTATTAATTTATTTATTTAGAAGGAAAAGCGCTTCGGCAGGCCCGCACGCTCGTTGTCAACTCGTCGCATTCATTCGCACTTGTCTCCCCACTCTCCGCGCCGATTTATCAAAAACTCTGGACGCAACTAAGCCTACGGCCGATCGCACATTCCCACCTGCTTATACACTTCTTAAAACTACCTTAATATTATTATACTTAGATTATAAATCCACTCTAGTTTTTAGAAAATTGTTAAACGAAAAATAACCGTTTAAAAATAGACGAAAAATTAAATGATTCCCGATTGACACCAACATTATTAATTTTATTTCTGTGATCTTTGTCACGAATTGAATTTTTGATGACAATTCGATATTCACTATTTGGAATTTTTAATTTTAATGAAAGTAGAATCAATCCTGGAAAAGTAAATACGACCTTTATTTATTTAAAAGTAGGGTTTTATTATTATTATTTATTAATTATCAATTTATTTCTTCAGATGAGAATTCAGTACTTGGAGAGTACAAGTTTTAAATTGTATACCTGTGAAATTGTATACCTATTAATTGTATTTTCGTGATCTTTGTCAAGACTTGAATTTTTAATGAAAATTCGATAATCATTATTTGGAATTTTTAATTTGAATGAAATTAGAATCAATGCTGCAAAAGTAAATACGACATTTATTTATTTAAAAGGAGGGTTTTATTAGTATTAGAAAAAGAAGAAAAAATTACATTGTTATTCGAGCCTAATGACTGTTTCCTCCAGAAGTACGAACGCAAAAATAAACTTTTCTTTAGTGTCAGACGGCTGCTTGCATTTTTACTTTCGAAAAAGTTTTAATTACGAATCCTCTGCTGATGTCCCATGCTCACTTTTACCCCTTTCTCTCTGTTGGAACACTTCTCTTTAATATTATTAAGATATTACTTACGCCATCTTGACTGAAAAGTTGTAAGGGCCTCGGGAAAGATTATTTAGCGGATATATACAACTTATCATTTTGTTAAAATGGTTTAGATTATTTTGAATCTTGTTTGAAAGTCTGAAAAGTCTCACTCTTGTTTTGATGTCAGGTTATAAATAAACAACTACTCTTTTGGTCCTTGCTATTGCTCGGTTATCTAAAGAATAATAAACAGCGTTGTTAATCAGCATGTAACTCAAGGGTTTAAGTTGTTATAAAAACGAAATGAAAAGGCAACAGCGCATTTTTTTTTTTGGAAATTGACAACACCCCGTGAATCGCTTTCTTACAAGCCGGATTAAATAGTTGAAAACTGAGTTTTTCACTCCGAAAAGCAAAAATTTCATCTTTAGGCAAGCCGTCGACGACAAGGGGACAAGAGGCATCAGTATTGCACGGTGGGATAGAACCGAGTGCAAGGACCTAATGAATAAATATATGTTGACTCAAACTCTCTCCTCTCGAAAGCTTATTGCCATTCAAAGTGGACTTCTCCCCCGAAGGTAAACTTTGTTCAAACAGAACACCTTCTTACCTTTTTTTTCCTACCGCCGAGAAGGGTTCGGGAGGAAAACAGGATTGAAAAGTTTAGGTGGCAGAGTTTGTAATTAGAGAAACCTACAGATCGATGATGAAGTGACATTTTCCGAACTCTGCAAGATAACTAAGTTCAATTTAAAGAAACGTGAAACAAAACTTTAAAAATGCTGTATGAAAATTCTTCTAATTTGTGTAGTAATAAATAATGTACGTAAAGTTATACAAAACCTTTTCCACATGCCTTTAATTTGATTATTGAAGATTTAAAAATGGGGAAAAAAGAAATTAGCGATAAACAACAAAACTCAACTAATACAATTACCTACACAAATTAAATACATTATAAACATTGATGCAAGGGACAAAGAAGGGAGAGAGTGAGTGAGTGACAGAGAGAGAGAGTGAGAGAGAGAGAGAGAGAGAGAGAGAGAGAAGTAACAGATAAACTAATGAACAATATACACTTACTGCAAAAAATAAACAGTTAGATAGAAAGACCTATGATTACGAAAACGAAGAAACTATGAAAGAGACGAGAGAGAGAGAGAGAGAGAGAGAGAGAGAGAGAGAGAGAGAGAGAATAATCCGAGTGATATAAAGCTTATTTTAAAAAGCCGTAAAATTGTACCTACGAACCAATTATTTAGATAAATCATACTTTCTGCAAATAATTGATGTAAATTTCCAATGCATTATCCAACAGGGGGAGAAAACCGCTATAGTTTAGAACAGATCAAATAATACTTCGTTGTCAAAGGAAGGCTTTAACAATATCAACCGAGATAAGTTGAACCTGGAGTTTCTCAAAGCTCCGAATGAAGGTGTTGAAGATAAGACTTTATCTCAAACTACCACCAAGAAATCAAACAAAGTAAACGGGCGTTTGGTTCAATTATTTAATAATAAGTCCAATTAATAAAATAAATAAAAGTAATAAATTAATAAATTGTAACACCATATGGGTTTATGGTAATATTGAAACCAGATAGTGAAAAGGGGAAACCAAGGACTGGAGAATTGTTCCCACTTGTACTTTGTATGTGTACAACAGTTAATACAAACAACTATAGCTTTCAAAGATTATCAAACTTAATTCGCAAGCAATCTCTGTTTGTAGTGCTGTTGCAGAAAATATCTATATCGGGTGATTTTACACATGTACAAAACTACAACAACAATAACATCATATTAATTATATATGTGTAAATTATAATGCAATTTATGATGAGTTCTGAGTCTTAAAAACTGTAGCTATTTCGTTCGTAATTAATTATCGATCTCTAAGGGAAACTATCTGCCCATTTTTTATCTTATTTTTTTAATTTATATGTTTATCCTACAATAAGTGGTTGTGATTTATTATTTATTCAATGTAATTACACATATGTATTTCTACACATTTAGTACACAAATTTAAAATACTAAACCAACCAAACTCCTGTGTCTTGCGAAAGTGTTGCACTTTGCGCCTTGCGATCAGGTCCAGGAGAAATATGTGGTTTTCGGAATAAATAAAGAATTATCTGCTCTCTCCTTCAGATATCAAGTTTTTTCTCCCCTCTCGCTCTTTTTTCTCATTCTCCCATTTTCTCTCCCGAAGGTGCTGTAATGTCTTTAACTGTAATTTTAAAGACAAACCACGGTAATTCCCTATGGTGGATTGAAAATCTAAAAAGATTTTTATTTTGTTTTAATGTGAAATGAAACAATGAACATAAAAGCTATATAAAAAAGTTTTGCATGTAGTTTACGAAAGGGACTTGGCGTACTTATTATAATGTGAAAAGCATTAATTTCCTTAATTTAACGTTTTTTTCTGCTCTTTATCTTCACTACTCTACATTCAATTCTTTCCTTATAATATTAGATATTAGTTTTTAATTGCAAAATTTTAATATAAAATTTCATTAACCGACGTATTTTAAAATATGACCGTGTCATGAAAGATTGGCGAAATTTGCACACCATTTGTGCGTGTTGTAAAAGTGTTGAACTTTTGCGCCTGAATGAACTCGATAAACTTAATTAACCATTAAAACAGTAATTTTTCAATATTTTGCGAGCCAAATAAAATGTATATATGAATAGGAAATATATGGAAGGCCCCACTATTTAAAAATGTTTCGGTGGCAAAAATGTTTTATTAACTAAACAAACGATTTATTTTGCTATTCACATTTCTTGATGGAAAATCCTTCAATATTTCGCAATTAAATAGAAGGATGAAAAAATAAACCGGCTCACCTTGAAATCCGGGTCAGGTACAGACTTCTTGAAAGAACCAACAATAGAGAGATTCCCAATTTCAGACTCCACCATTTTTGCCCTGGTCGAGTACCTACAAGCAAAAAAAAATTTAAATTTATCAAAATTTATATTAATTTAATAAATGCAAAATATCTGATAAATATATTAGAAGTTAAAGAAGAAAAGAGGTTAGTAAACTAAAAAGTTTAAAAAAACAGTTTGTCCTCAATTTCTCCCCAGCGAAAATTTTTAAAAAGTTTCAATTATAGAATTTGTGGCGTGGCGATGTGCTGTGCATTACACATCACTGGTCGTCAACAAGCTATATTTTTTTCCGAGAACTGTCACTGTCGACTATCTGTCAGCCTTTATCTCGATCCGACACACTACCGTCGGACGGTTTGGGCATTCTTTTATTTATTTCTTCCTCGCCGTTCGTCCGTAACAAATTGCCGAAAATTGATTCACTATTGTTGTAAATAACTATTGTATATTATCTTTTTAGTGCCAAGTAAAGCGTGAAATTATGAAAATATAACGGTGAATTTCAGTTTAACATATGGTATACATAAATTGTACATTACTATGGAGAATGTAGTAGTAAGTATTCTAGAAAAACCTCAAATCTCAATATTATCAGTTATTTCTTAATACATTTGTAATATATTTTCAAATTTTACCTGAATTGTATCGGTGCGATCAGGCTTTTAAGAAAAAAGTTGATTTTTATTTTTCTTATTTCTCATACAGTGAATTCAAGATCTACAAAACTACAGGTCCTTCATCTCGCACACATCAACAGGAAAATCACAGTTTATTGTCTATTTGATATAGTCTATTTGATAATAATCATATTTGATCAAACGCCCGCGGAAATGCCTAACCATGTACTAACTAAATATCCAGCACATCTAATTCTTTAAATCAAAAGTCCTCAGTCAAATTACCAAAGCTTCTTACAACGTCACAAAGGACATCTCCGTTCTTTTTGTCAACGGACTGATCCGTTCTAGCTTCCAAACTTTTCAGAACCATCTCTCGATTCATCCTAACCTTTCTGCCCAATTATAACTATACATTTTCTCTCATGATGATAGCCTCGAGACCTCCTACCTACTTAATCCTTCATATTATCTCAATTCCGTCCATTTATTTGCCTATCCTTGCTGTTTTGGTCGTCAGACGCATTTCGGCGTCCTGTCATCTTCACTATAAAATAATTGGTTAGTTGGTTAGTATTCTTTGGTTATCACTTTTTAGTGCATTTCACCATGAGGTCTCCAGTGTACCCGTAGGGAGCGACTGTCTATCCTCGCTGTGTGTGACGCGTTTCAGTTTTTAGTCATATTTACTGGTGGATTTTTGTAGGTCCTAAAAATAGGATATACACAGGAAAAAGCGCTCAGACATCGTTGAAGATGGTGAGAAACTGAAACGCGACAGACCAATGTGATCGGAATGACAAAACTGCAGGTACTCAAGAGGAAATATCACAGTAATGCCTATTGGGGGGGGGGGGGATCGGTGGCCACAACGGTTTAGGCCAGTGTTTCCCAACGTGGGAAAATTTGGAAATAACTCGTTTAGATTTTTAGTCAACTAGTGCCAATTCTCATTCTTCACAGCCGAAAAGTCATCACAAATATAGTAGCTTCTTTTCGCCTTAAAATAGCTGAATTTATTTGTCGGACCTCGGGTTATTTTTATCCTCAAGCGTCTCGTGGTATTTTTCAATATCCCGTAATAATTACTGTCGGTATCTTATTGTAACCACGTTTCAATCGCTACAGCATTGTAAATCATTTTAAAATCTTTCTAAAGTCTCGCTTTTTCATAGTTACGTATATTTTATTAAAGTTTCAAATAAATGAGGTTAAATATATGTATATAGTCAAACTAGATTAATTTAGTTTTTAAAGGTCCTAATTCTAGAATAAAGACAAACAAATATATATATAATTTTGGGTAAATTTAGCATTAATATTAATATGCAGATAGATACAAGCTATTCGCTTTTATATAAAAGGAAAAACAAACTAAAAACTAAAATTTCAATAAATATTAACTTAACCATGGATGTAATCTTTCCAATACATATCAACACCTCTATTTATTGTACATCTATATAAAGCAATGAACTGAAAATAAGGTTTGGCATTTACAAACAATACCGTGCAATTTATAATCCATATTTTTTCTATCAAAATTTTACGTTAAATGAAATTCATGAGCCCGAGCTACAAACATTTAAGACACAAACCTATTTAATAGCACAAAACTTGGTAATGGAGATTAATGCAAGTAATGATTTTCCTATTGAAGAAAATATCGCAATATTTCACATGAAATATTTTTTTACGAGGGTTCGCAACAGCAGAGGTCATATCAACCCTCAGTGTGCTCATTTGTTAGTATGTCGGGTTCGAATGCAGGGCTGCTGGATTCGAACTCGGGACCTTTACCTTACAGTGATGAGTGCCGTGTCAACGCCTAAACCGTTGTGGCCATCGACGCCCCCATGAAATAATATTAATTCATATTTTGCTATTGCGAACTAACATAACTGATTTATCAGGTGAAGGAAAATAATTTTTTTTTTTAATTTATTTATTTGTAGCCTATACATACTTGTACATAATACAAATGTGATCACAATGTATATTGTTCACCGCTCGGTCACAGCACTAACACTGATGCCAGCGCTGCACCCGGAGGACGCATGCCATGAGAAGCCAGCCAGTGCTGGCACTCATTTTAATAGATTAAGGGGCAAGAAGATCTCGGGGCCATCGTCGTTTTAGGCGACGTGGTGGATTCTCGGGATGGGACTATGTGGAGAGGGCTCTAGCGGCAGGGTTAGGATGGATCGATAGGTTGGTATGAAATTTTTGGAATCGGAAATGGATCAGTTCGTGGACAAAAGGAACGTTGAGGTCTTTGTNGTTTGCGCTGAGGTATAGTTTGTTCACTTACACCAGTCATGAATCTAACAAACGATTCATAATCCCTAGGTCTCACTGTTTCTTTTGCCACATGTCTTTGTAAGATTTCCAGTCTGCTTTTTCGGTCTTCCATTTACGAGCAAACACTTTAGTAGGATCGGGAATCCACGGTCCCCCAAGTGAGAAAACAATAGGTAGGTGATCTGAACCCATCGGGTCCTCTAGCACTTCCCACTCAGCCAGCGGCGAGATATCCGCCGATGCCAGTGTGATGTCTACTGCGGAATTTCTTTGATTTTTGGGAGTCTTTATTCTAGTGTTAGACCCGTCATTAGCAACTATAAGGCTGTTATTTTCGACGGCATCCAAAAGGATTTTTCCTTTCGTATCAGTCCATTCTGATCCGAAAGCCGCATGATGAACATTGAAGTCCCCTGCGACCAGGAATGGTTGTGGGAGAGCCTTAAAATGAAAAGAAGATAAATCTAGCGTTATTATCCGAAACATGGCTCAGTCCCTCTACCCATTTGCAAATTCCGCTCATTCCACTTTCTCAGGAATGATAGGGAAAAGGGGTGTGGGATTATTGGTGGGTGCAGTGCTAGCAAGATGAGCGTAGCTGAGATGATTTGATGAAGTTTTATTCCAGGCTGACGCGACTGTAGTAGGGGTCGGGGTATTTGCTTTTTTGGCGATTAGTGCCTGTGCTTTTCTTCTGATAGGAAGTCCTGGGAAGTCGTTCGGTGTCATCGCTGGTTTCGGTTGTGCAGTTGTTACGTTGGATGCTCCTTGAAGGTGTCTTTGCTTCCGTGCTTCCTGTAGTTCCTTGTGGGTCGCACATCCCTTGTAGTTCGCAGGATGAGACCCTCCGCAGAGAGCACAGTTCGCCGGCATGCTTTTATGCCTTGGGCACTGGGCGGATTGATGTGGATCCCCGCACCTCACGCATCTTGGCGGATGATTGCAGTATGTCCGTGTGTGACCGTAGTCTTGACATCTAGTGCACTGTACAATATTGGTGCGTCTTCGAGGTTCCTCGTCGTTTATCTTCGTGAACAGCAAATATTGTTCCTTGAATATGTTTTCGGAATTTTTATTTTTCTCAAGATCAACAAAAAATAAGGGAAGTGGTGTTTTCGTCACGGGATGAAGAACATGGTTGTGAACGACTTGATAGTGTTTATTCTGTAATTCTTTTTTTATCTCGTCGTTTGACGTGGTTTGATGAAGACCTCTTATCACCACGCGAAAACATTTATCTTCTTTCAGCTGGTAGCAGTGGTAGTCATAATCGTTTGCCGCCAGGTATTTGACCGCTTTCGTTCGTATTCAATAAAAGGTCATTTAAACGTGAGCGACAATAAAAGTTTTCGCTGCCCAATAGGCTTTACAATACAGAATGTTGAAAAATTTGTAATGTTTTTCACCATTATTGGTGGAGGTTTAGGTTGGCTAGTCCTATCTATAGGCTTGACTAGCGTTGATGTTGAACCGGTGAAAAGGTTATTGTTATTGTTTCCTCCCTTGGGCAGTTTACTTTTTGGGGAGGATGGGGCACTCGTGCTTTTTTTATGCTGCCTTTTCCTCCTTCCTCTCGTGATGCTGATTGAGGATGAGTCGGATTCCAGCGCGGTGAATTGCGCCTTGTCCATTACGGGCGGAAGATCTTGCGAGTGAATGGTATCGCTGTTTTCATTCATGTTATCGGCCTCAGCCAACAACACGACGAAGTATTACTCTTCCTGCTAANTTTTTTATCTCGTCGTTTGACGTGGTTTGATGAAGACCTCTTATCACCACGCGAAAACATTTATCCTCTTTCAGCTGGTAGCAGTGGTAGTCATAATCGTTTGCCGCCAGGTATTTGACCGCTTTCCGGTACGTATCGCTTTCGTTCGTATTCAATAAAAGGTCATTTACATGTGAGCGACAGTAAAAGTTTTCGCTGCCTAATAGGTTTTGCAAATGTTTACAGAATGTTGAAAAATTCGTAATGTTTTTCACCATTATTGGTGGAGGTTTAGGTTGGCTAGTCTTATCTGTAGGCTTGACTAGCGTTGATGTTGAACCGGTGCAAACGTTATTGTTATTGTTTCCTCCCGTGGGAAGTTTACGTTTTGGGGAGGATGGGGCACTCGTGCTTTTTTTA